TGCACACCACTATGAGAATTATCTCACATCCAATACCTTACAAAGGCTTTGCCGTTTTAAATATCCTTCTGTGTATATATGAGATTTTGGCTCTGTTGTTTAGTCTCTGTACAGAGTCAGATTCACAGAATTTGAGAGCCAAAGGCCTTTGCCGTGATACAGCTCCCACCCTCATTTCCTGAGAAGGATGATGAGAATGGGACTCAGTTTAGCCAGAATGGTGACCCAGGACAGTTTTGGTTACCTTTTGTTTTGTAGTTTCTTGTTTCATGGGTTTATATTTGATCTCTTTAGCTAGAAGATACGTTGTTAGATCCTTTTTCTCTTCATCAAAGATCTTCCCTCACTCCTTTTTCCAGAGTAGGCAGCCAGAGCTACCATTGCAGAAGGAAATGTAAAGGGTAGATGGCTAGCCTATGCCCTAGTACTATTATTAAAGTATTTTCAATATTTAATATCTAAAGCACATTTTTTTTATCATATCAATGAGTAGAACTGCACTTATCTTAGCCAAAAGGCCAAGAAGTGATCATTAGAACTGATTAGCATTATATATAATTAAAATTTTGTATTCTCATAGTTGTCTAGACATGAAGACAGAAATTACCTCTACACGACTGAGATGATTAAATAAAATTTCGCTTTGGTTACTTGGAATACTGAGACAAGGTGTTAAGTAGTAAGGCCTGTATCTCAATATTTGATACACCCATCTAATTTTTTTCTAAGTATTTGTCAAGCACAGGAGACGATATCACTTAGAGCAGTGTCCCTGAAATCTGATCACATATCAAAAAAGTAAAGAATCATTGGCTTAAAAGAACAGCATTTTTGAGATGATGAAGGTTCCCTTTTAAAAGGAAATTGTTATATCTGTGGAGTAGCACCTATAGGTTATGCATGTCAACATCTTGTAGAAAGATATGGACTGATCCCATATAGTTTCTTGATTTTCTATAGGCTATGTTTTTTGGGCTTACATAGTGGTTGAATTGTAACTACAATCCTCCATGCATGTGGAATAGAATTGATTAGACCAAGATGGAACCCTCTGCTACTTGATTCAGAAGTGATTAAAACAAACCTACATTGGGACCAGCAGTTAGTGTAATGGCTATGTCGCTGGACTCCCATGTAGTAGACTGCGGTTCGCGTCACAGACCCGGTGGCTTAAAACTCACGCCGGACGCGTGTGCTTGCGTACCCAAGATCCCAAGGGGAGAATGGAGGAGAAGGGATTGCGTCGTGGCCATCCCCCCTGGGGGGTGATTTCTCACTTTCTGTCTCTCTGTCTGTCTCTGTCTGTCTGTCTGGCGAGCACACGCGCCCTATAGCAAAAGCTTCTCAAAAAAAAAACCAACCCTGCATTGATGAAAGAAAGCTGTTGTTAGAAGCTATTTTGTCATCGCAGTGAGTTTGGCTGACACAACTAACTGAAAATTGTAGTAAGGTTGGTTCTGTGTTTGGATATCATAGTGCCTATGTTATGAGTGTTTATTGATTAATTTTCACACTCCAATGTATTTTTTTCAGCATTGTATGTAACTGCCCCAATATTTCTGAGACTGCTATGTGGATATTTCATTAAACTGAAAAAAATCATTAAGGAGATATTAATAAAATAGTATGCATATATTAGAAAGTCACAGAGCAGTTAAATGTTCACAGAAATTTAGTTTACACAAGTGGGGAATTGGTACAACTCAAAAGTTTTTACTTGGACACTTTCCTGAGTTTTGATTTGGGCTGGGTGTTGTAGATCATAGTAAAAGACTGAGATCAAGTTTTGAGCGAGGAGATTTAGTTTTCAAAGGAAGAAAATTTGGATGGTCTAATGATGATGAGTTAATAGTATTTGCATATTATTTATTTCCTAAGTAGAATGTGACGGAGAATGATAATTTTTCTTTTCTTTTTTTGGCCTGAGAAGGACACTAAAATTTTTTAGATAAGGAAACTTTAAAAAAAAAAAAAAGTAGACTAAATCATCTCTTATTAAAGATTTAGAACAGGAAGAAATTTATTTTCCCCTGGTAGGGGTTATGTGATTGTAAATCTATGTGTATATGGACCACATGGCATTTTCATTTATTCAATGGAGACTTGAGAGGGTCTGTGTTTAGCACTTGAATATTGGACATGATTCAAATATGAGTCAAGTGTGTCTAGAGGCTTTATTCATACCTATTTTCTTTAGTCAGCAATGCTTCATAATGCCCTGGTTTCATGAATTAATTTTAATGGAATTAAACTTGAACAGCTCAAAATTATATAATTAATTTCATTCAGCTTCAATTAAAGTTACTAATTGAATCAAGCCTACTAGCATGACACCTGGCGGCAGTCAGCTACATAACAGTAGCAGCAAGTAAGTAGGACCGTTTTCAAGCTAGTTCATAATGTACTAGTGAGTTTGTGTAAAAGCATCTTACATTGATAAGCTTAGAAAGTCCTTGAGTTGACCGTAGAGTGGAAAGATTTCCTGAGTTGTTCTGAAAAGTAAAGATTTTAATTGAAACTCACACACCTTATGAAGATTATATTATTCTCTGTGATAATGCCAAGTAAATAGTACGTCAGTCCAGAACATATTGGTTTAGTTTATGTTTTATTGCTATTTGAATATGTTTTTTTTTCTTTCTAATAATACTCAGAATTAAACACCATATTTTTTTCATAAATCTTAGCCTCTGGATTTAGTCCTAAATAAGTGTCTATTTTCATGTGTTGAAATGTGTTTCATGCAGAGCTTTTCAATTGTTGTGAAATCCCTATGATACATGAGAAATTTTTGCATGTGCAGAAATTTTTTCCTTCCACTGGAAATGTTAACACGGTTGACTAACAACTTCTGTTTGAATCTCTTTCCTTTTTTGCTTCCATAAGCTTGACATCATCCAGCTTCTTTTATTTCTCTAATTCCTTCCTAATTGTACAGACTATTCTTGTTACTCTTTTATAAATACACTCACTTTTTGGTGAATAATACTATATGAATAATAATATAGCAAATCAACAGAAGCTCATTAGTTTGAATGTCTTCAATAATAGACTTGAGAATGATGTCTGTTTTTAGCTGTAACTTTTTTTCTGACTTGCAAAGTTCAATGTCCAGTGCTAGACTCATCCACTAGACTGTATAGTCCACGAAGGCCTTGGCTGTATCTCATAATTCAATACACTCTCTTCACCTAGTACAATGCCAAAATAACTACTGTGTACAGATATATAGTTTTTTAATGAATAAGGTATCTCCTGATCTCCAGGTTTTCCCAGTCAAATCCAGACCAAGAACTCAGTCATCTCCAGCTACAACTTCCTTGATTATCTGTTCAAAGTTCTAGTTAGTTTCTTATATTTCCCCTTTTACATCTTCTTTTCCAGTTATTTAAATCTCATCAATTTCTAAATGGACTTCGCTGTCTTTAAGTTTCCCTTTGCTAAGTGTTCCTTTTAGTTTCCCTTACTCTATTCTCCCTCTGAGATGTATCCATACTAGAGTGATTCTCAAGAATTAAGTGCAGTGGAATTAACTGAGTAAAGAATCTTCTTCCCTAATTGAAAAAATTAAGTCCTCTTTTGGGGACCAGCTGATGGCGTAATGGTTACATCACTGGACTCCCATGTAGTTGACTGAGGTTCGAGTCCAGAACCTGGTAGCTTAAAATTCACGCCAGGTACATGTTCATGCATGCCCAGAATCCCAAGAGGAGACGGGGGAGAAGGGATTGGGGTATGGCCATCTTCCCTGTGGATTGATTTCTTGCTTTCTGTTTCTCTGTCCATCTGTCTCTTCAGTGAGTGCACGCATACCCTTTAGCAAAATTCTCTCTCCAAAAAAAAAAAAAAAAAAAAAGAAAAGAAGTACAGTCTTTGGTGGTGGGGCCCAGAGGTGTATTTTTTTTTTTTATTAAAAGCTTCCCAAATGGATTAAAGTACGGCCAAGATTCAAGATTGGGAGTACTGTTGTGCACAGGTTTACTAATTATCCTTGTGCATGGAACATTTCATAAAGCATTCATGGCTACTTTGAATTACTTATCTTGCTTTTGAATTAGGTCCAGATTTCGCACTTTGGCCTTCAAATATCCATACTATATCCCTAACCAAGTCTCGTAACCTCCCCTTTAAAGTACTTAACAGACTAGAGAGTTGGAACGTTAGCTCAAGGGTCTGTTTTTGGAGCTTTCCTATGCTGTTTTTCCACTCTTCTCTCATCTGTATTTTTTGAAATTCTACTGATCTTTTAAAGACTATCCAATATGCACTTTTTTCTATAGTAGCTTTCTTGATCTTTGGATCTTGATGATTTTTTTCCCTTTGAACCTCGTTAGTGACCCAGACTTCTCCTAGCATGCATTTAACCTTCTGTTGTAGTTTATTTTTCCTTTGACTTTTGTTCCCAAGAAGACTTTCTATTCCCTTATACATTGGCTTTCCCCCTGAGAACCCACAAAGGCACATACATTTCTCATCCTAAACACTTTTATCTGTGGATGTGTTACATACTCCTTAACTTTTTCTAAGTTTCTATATAGAAACCTCTGTACTCTTTCTATATCTCCGTACTCCTCTGTCACTCCTCACTCAACTGCAGTCCCACTTTCATCTCTACCACTCATTTGAGTCTCCTCTCCTTTTGATACTGTACTACTGCCCCACCCCCTACATGTATGGATTCAGTCACTTTCATCTTGGATGCAACCTTCCCTCATTTCTCTATCAGTGCAGGTCACTGGCTGTTTAAAAATTATTTGTTTACTATAAACTTGACAGATTGTGTTTACTGTGAGCACTTCTGTTTCTTGAATGCTAGGTAGATGGTAAGTGCTCAATAAGTAAATACTGTTATTGGGCCAATAACTATGCAATAATCAACAAATGTACACTTCTCATGATTCTTTAAATTATAACAGGCTTACAAGAATTTAGAAATATATGTAAACTAAAAAAAGATAAAAATATGTGACATTCAATGACAATAAATATTTTTTTTCCAGAAAAATGTGATAAAGAAAGTACCAAGAGAGAGATAACTCAAGCTACCAATAGCCTATTCACACATGAAGAGATGGAAGATCAGTCCATTTGGGGAAATCCTTCTGATGGTGAACTCATCAGAAGTAAGTATTTTTACAGAAATTTTGAGTTATTTGGGGATATGACTCTGATTATATGTCCTCATTTAATTTTCCTATGTAATTACATCACAAATCTATAAGTTAGCAGGCCATCAGAAAGTATTTTCATTGATATTTAAAACAATACAGCTAAAACTAGGATATTAATAATGCTGTATGTCAGCTTTCATCCTTTCTTTAGAAAGACATATTTGACCTGTAAATTGTGGACTTGATTCTCAGATAGATTCAGTTAAAATGTAGTTTCTTGAGCAGAAACTAAGTACAAGTCAGGCAACTCTAAGTATATGTAAGCTGTGAAACTAAAAGGGAGAAGAGCTAAAGAACAACTAGTATTTTGAAAATAATAGTAGTAGGGACCAGTAGTTGGCGTAATGGCCATGTTGCTGGACTCCCATGTAGTCGACCATGGTTTGAGTCCTGGACCCGATGGCTTAAACTCAAGCCGGGCGCATGTGTGTGTGCCCAAGATCCCGAGAGGAGAATGGAGGAGAAGGGATTGTGCCATGGCCATCCCTCCCGGGGGGGGGGTGATTTCTCGTTTTCTGTTTCTTTCTCTCTCTTTCTGGTGAGCGCATGCACCCGATAGCAAAAACCTCTCCAAAAAAAGAAAAGAAAAGAATAGTAGTAGTAGTATTTTGGTAGCATTTATAGCCAAAAGATTACAGTTAACATTTTATCTATACTTGGATTTTTGTTGTTGTTGTTTGTTTTTGATTCTTTCCTGGTTCCTAAATTTTAACTGTACAGTATATACAAAATCTTTGGTATATTTTCATTTTATTTTGGGGATGCTCCAAAATAACCAGTATTTTGGGGCTTCTACTCAGAATTTCCTGTCAGGTTCTCCTCTCAACCTCCTTGAGCTTACATCTGAAGTTCCCCCAGCTAAGTGCAAGATGGACTTGGCATATAACGAATTATCCTATGTAACAAATATGTAGGTGTTGAGGTCACCCCATACCACAAATGAAGAGCATTTCAAAATTTTTGTTCATGGCAACTAAATTATCATGTCTAATTATTTGTTTTCCAGAGTGGACAGGAGAAATCATTGCTGGGAATCAACTGTTGTTTTCAATGTAATTTTTCAGTTCAGACAACTTCAAAATGTAGACCTTTTCAAAAAAAAAATGTAGACCTTTTCTTGTGTTACATATTATGCTTACTTTGAAACTTGGGACACTTTTCTTTCTAGAATATACAGTATCTACACTTAACTGCAAACCAAATAGAATAAAGCAGAGAAAAAAATGGAAAAGCCAATTTAGCAGAAAACAAACAACCATAAAAGTATGATGGAAGGAGATTTCTGGTTTTCAAACAAAGGCTCCCAAAATGAGTACGCTAGTTTAATTTTAGAATCATTTTGGTTTTTACACACTTTTGTCTTAGAAAACAGAAAAGAAAGGAAGGAAAGGAGACTCAAAAATTAGTAAGGAACAAGATTTATATGGCCTTTTCTACAGAATCAAATGAACATTATTTCAAGTAAACATCTGCAAAACAATGTTGACTATCTTTTCTCTGAATTTTGACTCAGCCGTTATAAAACTTATATATATTTTTAAGATACTGGTATATTTTATCTGTGATGTCCTAGCAGTCAGAGAGTTAGTTAGTATTAGAAGAGGGTTTTTGGTACAATTTACCTTCATAATTATTGCTTTCTAATTTTTTTCTTCATGGTAACAGAATTTTAAGTGTCTGTTTCATTTAATTGATTTATTTCCCTAATCTCCTTTCCCAAGGTCCACACTGGAAAATGTGAATAAGATCTCTCAGGACAAAAACCAAAATATAAACACAGTTGCATGAGAATGTGCAGAGTCATGTTAAAGTGTTAAATTTGTTTGTTTTATTTTCTGAAGCTCATTTCTTAGTCACAGAATTCATACCATGAAATTTAAAATGAATTACTTACTCTGTTGTCTATACTGGTTAAGTGGACAGTGATAAAAATATTATGAATAGCATAAAATGGTTTCTATATTGGGATAATAATGCATCCTGTACCTTGGGACACGAAAAGATTGGGGAACAACTGTCTAGTTTTTTACTAATATGCACGGGAGGAATGCAGAGATAGATTTACAACCCCCTCTGAGAGGGCTGCTGGGAAACTGGCAGATGAATGGATACACAGACGATATTGGCCAAAGACGGTAATGACGCGCCTTTCCGAAACATAAGCTGGCAAGCATCTCCACATATTTGTGGGCGACATCTGACTCTGAATCCTGATTGCAAACTTCAAAAACTCTATTTTTGTTATTTTCCTAGTCATACTTTTCTAGACAAAGGCTACTTTGTTAGATCTGCAGGACAAAAAATACCCCAAAAACCTGATATCTGGATTTGCAGAAGTGGAACATTTTCTATCATCTTTGAACTTGACTGCATTTCGGATAGTATTTGAAAGTTTGAGTTGTGGTGGCTTCTGCTGTTCCAACTCCTGATGAGCATCTCAACTGAGCCGTCTGACTCTCCTTTCCAACAGAGTCCTTGGTCATCTCCGAGTAACTTAATATGTCTCTCTTAACCCCGAGGATAGGGGGATGTGTATTTTCCAATTGTTCAGCAACTAACCCATATGGGGTGCAGTAAATCTTTTCTAATAGCAACTGGCCCAGAACAGAGAGATTGGCTCCTGCCTTGGTGGGTAGGGGAGGAGAGGGACATCTGTGTGGTGAGTCAGGTCCCAGGCTGGCTCCTGTTCGAGGAGTCCTGTGAGGGTCCCCCAGCTCTGAGCACTGGAAGAGGCCGACTGCTGGCTCTCTCAGAATTGATGTTAGTGTTCCCACTGTAAGTATGAGGTTGGCTGGCTAGAGGGATTATCAGAAAAATGAGTCTGCCTGGGATATGGGAACATTTTCAAGTGCACAACCCACTCTTTTTTCCAAGCTTCCATGGGACAACTCCGCTGCATAAGCAAGAAGTGGAGGAGAGTGGCTATGGAATATGACTTCTGTTTCTTCATCTGTCCTTAAGAGTGGTTTAGTGAGGGCTGGCAGCTCAAATCTCCATTGTCCCAGATGCTTGCTGTCTTTGTCAGACTTTTAAGGCATAATTTATAGGGGACCGTTAGCTGTCAGTGTGATGAAGCTGTTTTTACTTTTCTTTGCTGAGAATAACTGAGCTCTGGAAAGCCAAGGGAGTGGCTGCTTTGGAAATTGTATTCTAATTAAAGGGTGTATTCTCAGGCCTCATAAACGAGATCCAAGCTGAGAATAATTTCCAAATTATTCTGTGAACTTTAACCCTGACCTCAGCGGACCACCCACTTGTGGCTCATCATGGTTCATGCTCTACACTGAAGGCCTCACAATGTCTGTCTTCCTTGAGTCTGCTAGAAAATACTGCAGGTGGCAGGTCTGGGATACTGTTGTCTTTCAAGGTTTGGAATTCAAAGTGGTTATCCTTGAGTTGCTAATGTATTAAAGAGAATCTTTTCTGGAAGTAATAAATAAAAGAAAAGAAATCCATATGGACTCCACCATTTCGAATAAATAGGCCACACACAATCTGGTCAGGGAATGTGTACTGTGATTCTCTTTCTTTATGAAATTTAGATTTAAAAAGACAATTCCAGATTCTAGTCACTTAAGATTGTTAAAACAGAAAAAAGTAATAATAATCAAATTAGTGAAGAATTAAAAACACAGTGGAGATTTTGCAAGGAAAATTTATAATTGGAAAGTTGTTTTTCCTAATTGTTAATTTAAATTTTTTTACAGTTTTAAAAGTATTTCATATTCTGAAAAATACTTTTGTGTACAATTCTGTATCTAGAATGGAGCGTACATGTTGGAGTTTATAAGAGCTTTTTTTTTAAGCACTTGCTAAAATTTTGACTTACCTCTTAAATTAGCATATATGGTATAGTACATAATTTGGAGCTATGCCTTGTTTTAATAATCACTATTCCTCTGACTTAGTAAAATAAATGTTGCAGTGAAGTGACACCTCGATTAATATTAATTTTTCTATTTAACCCATAATATGCATAAACTGATAACAGGCAATAGGCAACATTTCATGTTTTAATTAGACTAGAAAAGGAACAGAAGTAACATTTTGATCTCAGTCTTTGGGGGAATTTCTAAGGTAGGAAGGAGTGTGTATGTGTGCATGTGTGTGTGTGTGTATTCCTGTGCTTACACTCAGGCATGTGTAATATTTTCCTTTAATTTAGGTCAAATTCTACTATTCTAATTATTTCCTATAGAGAGCTTACATTTTTCTTTGTTCCTCTTTATAAAGTGCCTCAGGTCTCTATCTCAGATTTTTCTAGGTCTTTCTGAAAATTCTTATTACTTAACTTTATCCTTGGACATTGCTTTTACATAAACGTCTCCTAATTTTAAATGTCATTACTTAACTCCAGAAATTTTCCTTAGCTTCTCTTCTGAAATAAATTTCCCATTAAATTAAACTATTTTGTTCAGTTAATTCTCTCCTTTGTGATTTTATAGAATTCCCATGATCTGAAGCAAAGTTAGAATGCTCTACTTAAATGGTAATCCCCATTCTGTTTAACCCATTTATTCATTTTGAAGAGTTTTTAACTCTCATAATAGTAAGCACTTAATTGGCAGTAGAATGCGAGCCCTTTTCTAATTCTCCCTCACCCACTTCTATGGAGCTGCTGTATCATGCTTTTCTACCCATCCTGCTATTGAAACCTTCTTCTTGCCACCATCTGAACGTTCTCTCAGCATGGACAGATTCTGCCATTAGGAACTCCATTGTTTCTCTCACCTTTTGTCAACTTGCCGCTCATCACCTCCTAAGAAAGACTATTTCATCATTTTAGGGAATGCTTCCTTTATGTAAGACACTGAAGAAAGTTAGATGCCTGTGTGTGCTATTAATGTACTTAGAACATTTCTTACTTTGGTGGTAAGGCAAGAGCATTTGAGAGGTGTGAATTTCAATTTCTTATACAGCTTTCTAGTTTGAATACATATGAAGCATTTCTT